TCATTTATTGCATTCTTGACACCTGCCAGACTATAGTCTATTAGTATGTGTTTTTTCATGTCTTTTGCATATACATGTACAATGCAGATGTACAGTACAGTAGCTTTATTTGGTATGGATTTTGAGCTTTTTATGTACATGTAGGTTTGTATGGTAAATTGTAATTCTTGTTTGATACTTGAGCACATTTTGATATACATGTACAGTACTTGTGTCTCTCCATAAGTTATTCATTTGTCCCTGTAGGCTCTTTCCAGCCCCTTTCCTCCCCCTGCCCCAAATTACCGGGTAGCTGTAATTTTTGACCCATCTCAATCTTCTTTAGAAACTTTCTGAATAGCATAAAAAGTGTTATTAATCTGCTGTTCGCAATATGATAACTGAATTCTGTGGTTTTTCTTCCCAGATCTTAGCTGGATTCCCTTTACCTTGTCAGTGTGAGTTCGCTCATCCATTGTCTATCCACCAAGCGTCATCCGATCTGCCCCTTCAGTGTACCTTTTTTTGGCATCACCACCCAGTAACAAGCAAGAGCTGTTCAGGACAACCACAAGATGGCAGGCGGTGGTGCAGGTCTTCTCTGGGCCATCATCTGGGTCATCGTCCTCATCTTTCTGGGCTGGCCCATCGCCTTCCTCCTGGCCTGGGTCTGGGTGTGTCTCATGCCCTTCTCCGTCTGCATGAGCTTCCTCAAAGACATCATGGAGGCCCTGCAGAAGATTGTACTCCTGCCTCAGACCTGTGGGGAGAATATCGTCGGGATGAAGCCCCTCTGTGACTGAAAGGAGAATCAAGAAGAGAAAGAAAAATGAAGTAGAGGAGGAGAGATGAGAATACATTGAGCTGTGACTTTTGATAGGGTGTGCTTTTGATGTTGCCGTGGACTACAGTGTCATTGTTAGGCTATAATTTTGAAACCAAGATGCATAGTTACATAAATTTAATCCCATGGTAAAAACCATGCTTATTCTTGAGTCAGCAAAAAGGAATTCTGATGTCTCCAGAAAACTGTGAAAACTCTGTCAGTATGTCAGAATGTCAGATGTTTCTCTTAACTTTCTAGATGATTGATTTTTTTAAATCAAATTAAACCAAATCTCAAACTTTAAAATCGGTGGTTGAAGTAAAAAGCCTACATTTTGAAAGCTGGGATGTGAAGTGTCTGGTGTGGGAGCTAACATGGGATATCCTATTTTTAAAAACCTATCAAGACATTTACATGTAGGTAGCAGATATACCGTACTCACTGTTGTCTCTCATCAGGACTGAATAATTTCAAATTCAAGTAACACTCATCTTTAACAATAAATTTCTCTATTTGCAGATGGTGACAAGCAAGTTGAACATAGCTTACGGTGTATTGGCCACATGTTAGTAGTGTATACTACATTAATATAAACTTGCATGCCAAAAATATTTTCACAGGAAGTTCACACTAGATTTGGACTTTGTATTCAGTAAACACTAATTGCAGAAAAGCTTATTTTCAGAAATAGGTAAATAGTATTTTTGTGTCAGAAATCACAATACATGTATCGTGTAGGAACATTTTTCTTTTGGGGGACAAACATGTACATGTACGTCTTTGTGCTCGCACATCTGCAGGTGTGCATATAAGCGTTTGAGGTACCGGTATATCAGTTATTGAATGCTGGGTTGGAAAAAGTGATTAAAAGAGAGGAAGGGTAGGCTTTGCAGATTCCTGTAGATCTGAATTTTGGAAACGAAAGGAGCCATGGAAATGGAAAGCAAGTGAAGCATGTCAGAAGGTCCAATAAGTGCCTTAGTAAATGTATATTTTGTAGTAGTAATGTCACAGTTACCAAAGGAGCGTTAACAAGGGGATAGTTCATTATTGTTGAGAGTTTGATGTTATTGGATGGGTAAAGGCAGGTCAGGGATGGGACTTCAGTCTCTGCTCCCCTGTGTTCTGCGTTTGTAACCGAGTCATGGGGACGACACACGTGGTGAAATACAGGCATTGTGTGGACAGAAACCTCACAGGGACAAAAGTTTTGTCCGGTTAACTTGGCCCTTACTTTCCTAGCAAACAGGAATGTCTCCTTAACATGAATAAGGCCTACCACACATCCTTGGCCTTTTTTTTTAATCAAGGAATCCGAAAAGGATTAGTGATACCTCATTACAAGTTTGGGTCTGTATTTTGCTTCTGCGTCAAGAGACTTCACTTTGTGAGAGTCAAGGATCTCTCTTCTCCCATGCAGCTTATGGTACATGCACGAGTTGATCTTGTGCTGAAATAATCCCTGAATGTGCATTGTAATGGACTCAAATACATGCACATGTATGCCAGTTTAGCCCTCCACAGTGAACATGCAGTCAAGTAAACAAAATCATAGTGACACATGCACTGGAATACCAAATCACAGAACGGTTTGAGTTCTGTGTGATTTAAAGTTGCATGGTATCAATTTTGTAATGTATAAAGTGATTTGTAAAATGCATAAATTTTGAATGGTTTTCTGTTCGTTGATTGTGTGATGTATTTACAAACAAATCAGGTAAAATATATAGAGGCAGTATACCAGAACATCAGAAACCTCAAATCAGAAATGATATCCCTTTTTTACCCCAAGTATTGTCCAGTTAGCACAGGTGTCCATCTATAGTTGGACAGATCTAGGATTGTGAATCTGGTCATCAAGACTTACGTGAAATTCAGAGAGAGAAAACAGAATCACGACTCGTCTGAGTCTCACCTTCAGCTCTGATGAGTGACTGTGGCAATCACCATTGTTTGGTTGAGACTTGAGAGACAGTGTCAGTGCCTCTCTATTGTTGTTCAGGGATCAAGGAATTTCTGAATTTTATGTCAGTTCTTTGACCAGATTCATACTATAATCAGTCTAACTGGATGAATCAAATCTACACCAGTTGGTCTCATGAGGCTAATTTCATGAAGATACAGACAGGGCACAGACATTTTCCAAGCAATTTATACAAAACAGGTACTTCCAGGCCAAATAGCCAGGTAGTGCTTGTATGGCTTGTGGCTGGTTATAGAAATCTGTACGAATTTTGACAAAATTTGCTTGGAATGGAGCAACCATTGTCCTTGATTGATAGCTCAGTGAAATTAAGAGTTGTAAGACCCCCCCAGTTGAAAATGAACCTTAGAAATTTGCAAGCATTAAAGATGTGATTAAATTACAGTGATTGACAGGAAGCAAATCAGATCTGATCAAAGAAGACCAAATAAACGTTTAGTTAGTACCAACAGAGGAAATGTCGAGGTGTCCTTGTTTTGTTGGAATATGTTTTAAGCTTTCAACATTTAGAGTTTTCAAGGAAACTGAAATCAAATGTGAGTGTTCCTGAGTCGCCTTCTTGTGCACCTTGTTTGGGGGAGGGCTTAGTCATGGTTTTTCATCAATTAATTTTCTTGTATAGTGACAGGTACTGCAGTCTGCGTACCTTTTCTAGCTAGGTAAATTTATGTGAACGGAGTGTTGCAAATAAAATAAAGGCTCCTTTAATTGTTTTCCTTTGGCTGTCTGTATGCATTCCAAGCTACATGTACGGAGTGGCAAATGGATGTAGAATTTACTCGTTTCCAGTAAGACAGTGAATGTAGGTATAGATAGATTTACAGTCAATCCAGGCTTGGTGAAGAAAACGTTCTTCTACATGTACATGTATGTAACTCATCTCAAGTTCTTGACTTTCCTAATGCAGTGTGTTTTTCCTGGATACTCAAAGCCCTGGTTGTGCTCCACACCTGTGGCTCTTGGCAGCCTCTCAGTCACGCTCGTTTCCTGTAAACTTCATCAGCGATTGATCAGCGTATACTGTAGAGGAAGTTTAGATGCATTACAAAAAGTTATCGGTGATTACCAGATTTCCTGACTCGTCAACTTTTTAAGAACATCCGAAGACTAGCATTGTTGCCATCCAATAAAGTGCAGTCTTTCATAAACACTAGACTCTAATTACTCATACAGACCACAGAGACACATTCACATTGCATAAAAGGGAGGGGAACAACTGAAGCAAATCAGTTCACAGGCCAGGGCAGACACTGCAGGGAAAATCTGCTCTTCGTAAGTCGTTTTTTTTTCTGTCTCTTCCATGCACGTACTGGTAGCTCAGTCTGTCCTACCTTTACATGTATGTTTCAATTTGACGATATGGGTTTCAGTTTTTAGTCTATTACTGCTTCAAACAGCATGTCTAGAAATGTAAAATGAGTTTCTTTGGTCATTCCATTAGTCTTATTAGTGCATCAGTTTGTCATCAGGCATGGATGATTCTGTCAGTCTGTATTTGGATGGTTTTGTCACCCAGAACAGGTTTTCATTACCAACCTACAGAATTCCGACAACACTTGTACATGTATGTATTCATACAGTGTGTGAAATTTGATCAGGAATTTGTTACCTGTAGCGGAAGCATGAAGCTCCATGGCTGGAGTAGCCTTTCTCAAATCATAAAGCTAGGAAAGAGATCACGGAGCCATAGAATTTAGGCCAGTTGATGTTGTTGAAGTGTACATGTAGTTGACTGCGTGAACTGCTGCATGTAAATACATGTAGTCCCAAGGAGGGACTAACCTACTGGTGCCATGCTTGGTTGCATTCCTGACTATTCAATAACCTCTCGGTGTGCTCCCTTCAGTCCCCATATTACACAGGAACATACATGCACATGTACATGTACTCATACTTGTAGTTAAGACTTGGTCTTCTAACTTTAATACCAGCTGCATGCATGCAACCTATCATCATGTTGTATCAGCCGTTCACAGAGTCACTTGATGTAAACTTAACTGAAGGAAATTCAAAAAGCGACGATGCTGGTTGGACAGTTTGTTTGTTTGACAGTTTGTCATTCTAATCCGCCAGCTTTTGAAAACCTGTTACCATTGCAGCTAGCGTAGCCTGCCTGCCTGCCAGCATTCCAGTCTGTCTACACACCTTTTCCACCATACATGAGAGCTCTGGGCATTTATTTGTTTTTCCTTATCATTGGTCGTTATGCAGATATTAGTCAGTAGACTGCATGAGTTCAACAACGTACAAGCAGACTACGCGTGTCGAGACCCGCACTACCTCTCAACCTCAAGTCCGAAGTCGAACGACCGTTGTCCGCAGCTCTCACTCCTCCTCAATGGCTAACTGCGGCTGGCTGTGGAGCATCGTCTGGGCCCTGATCCTGCTGGTCTTGGGCTGGCCCATCGGGATCCTCTGCGGCATCCTCTATGCCATCTTCTGCGCCTTTGTGCCCTGCTGCAGTGGCTGCAGTGACCTCGCCAACTTCCTGCACCGGGGCCTAGAGCTGCCCAAGACGTGCGCTACCAACATGGTGACACAGCGATCGGGCTGTTAGAGTAGAGGTTGTGCCCCCGGAGGAGCATCATGGCAGCATGCAGATTCATCAGAGGCCTGACATCAGGAGGTAGTTCTCAAATGCTCCAAATTTGCCAGCATTTCTAGGAGAAGCTTTGAGTAAACTGAGCCTTTGCTTTGCATAATCATTGGTCAAAGTTTCTGAAAGAATAATACCATCTCCTTCAGTATTCACGCAGTTTTTATTTAACCCCAACTATTCTTTTATGCTCTTTGCAGGAATTAGGTGGAATTCTTATTGGTATCAAAGTTGCCAAGAAAATTGCCATATGGCACAGACAGAGATCCGTGTGTAATGTGACCCATTTTCTCCAGAAGTTCAAAGTAGGAAGATTTTCAAAGAACTGTGCACAGAAATGATTCTGTAGGGTATTTGTAAACTTTGGTTGTACATCGGTGGCTGTAAACTGTGTGCATGATTTCCACACTGCCCAGCTGCCAAGTTTTACAAATCTACATGTAAGCCTTCCTGGTATTGGAGCCTCTCACTGGAATCGGCCTCTGGTATTCCTAATTACACAGTACGTACATGTACACGTAGCTCTTTCTAAAACTAGCTTTGATATCTCTTCATGTTTTGGAACAAAATTGTAAGTAGAAAAGTGTTGTACCTTTATAAGAATTTTCCTTTTCCAGAGCAAAGCATGAAGTAGTGATTGTGTATTTAGAAAGGTTTTTTTACATCTTCAAATAGAATTTGTCATTTCTTTAAACTCTACACTTGAGTTGTCCTTTTGCTTACTTTTGGGCCATGTGTGACTTTTTTGTGTATGGAGCAGGTTGTTTCGAATTTGTTTACCTCTCTGAAGTGTTTTTCGAAGGCCATTGAAGTACATGTAACTTGTAACTGGCCTAGCTACCCCTGTACCCCTCATGTACGGTAGCTTTCAAATATTGATGGCCGTGTGATATTTTTTCTTTGACTTGCCACTTTTCTTGTGTAAAGGGGTTTATCAATTCACCTCACACACAGGTTGAAACACAAATGCGCTTTCAGGCGCAGCTTTCAATGGAAAACCAAACACAGGCACGGAAAACCACCAAGAAAGAGATTAGACTGATGCCAAAATTTGTAGAATTTTACAGATGTTGTAAGAGGTTTCTTTAGAAGGCAGATTTCAATCCTGTTGTCTGTTTCTATCTGATAATGTTCAAATAACCACAAACGACAATTTGGCTACATTGAATGGTCGTATTTCAGTAGCTTGTAACTTTCACGGAAAGTCTCTAATGTTCTTACAGAGTACAGTTTGCAGAAGAATTGAAGGGAAACTTGAAATAACCACAATGTTTATTCCATGGCAAAGCAGTTTTTAAGTTTCTAGAATTGTTCTCAAACAAGTCACAGGGCCATTCAAATTCGCAGATATTGCCAGAAAGCTTTTGAGAAAAAATTACCTTGCCAAAATAACACCTTGTCCTTTTCGTGCCATCTTTAATGTTCTTTCTGCTGCTGTATTGTGATGCATGATTTTTTCTTTAGGTTTATATTTCACTGTTGTGGTGAACATGTTGTGAACATTGTGGTTTTTGCATGAGAAGTGTAGACAGCCTACATGGAGGAGTAAAACTGTGTATGAAAAATACATGTACACGTATGTGCTTGCAATTTTTGTATGAGCTTGAAGGAATTTGCTTTAGCCTGGTTAAGATAAATTTGTTTAGTGAGTGATATTTCAGTTTTCGTTGAAATGCACTTTACTTCCTTTACGTTTACTTTAACACCAACCTGGCAATTTAATGACAGAGATTTGTATCATGTAACTAAAGCTTGGGGAAAATCATTCTTTATATTTAACCCTAACCCTCCTCATTCCTCCAACAGGTGAAGGATTCAGGAGGGTTAGGGCTAAGGACCCAAAAGTAAATTGCAAACCCTCAGTTTCGAGTGCTTCTATAGTTTTTGCATTTTATTTTTCATACATTGTAGTACGTTTTTAATGGTTGATCATGATCATGAAAGCCTGTCAGAGGTCTAATTTATTAGTTGAACAAACTTGTTTTAAAGTCAGTCATTTGAAATAGGCCTGATGACTGAGAGCAGTTGAAATACTGACTTGTACTTGCCTTGCTTTCTATCACATTCTTGTCTTCCAGTTTGATTTTCTACATACATGTACCAAAAAGTGACTGGTAGCATGAATATTTTGGTGGTAAAGTTTGAAGTGAAAAATACCGAAAACTTAGTTTTTCTACAGAAAGTCATTGAAAATGCCTTTGACATATCCAGAATCTGACATTCCAATGGACAGTTCAGTTCTTGGAATGTATTGTACTGTTAACAGTTACAGTTATTGCACGCAGGCCAGACTAGAAATTAAAGTTGCCCAAGATGTGCAATTGCTTCAGGCTTGCTTAATTAAAAATAACCATTTTTCCCATTGTATTACATCTCAAATATTGGACAGCTCATTTGCCAAGGACAAGCCTTAATTTCAGTAGGTATTCAGAATGTTTTTACTTTTAATGAGAACAAGTACATGTATGTGTCAAAATGCCATTAATTAGTTATTTTGGTTATTTTTACTTTTTTAATATTCATTTCAAGAGATCATGTTGTAGATTCAAAGCTGAAATCCTGTCATACCTCTGTTGGTTTATGTAAGAAACTTACATTGTAAATGCACTTTGCAAAGGCTTTGGGGCTTGCATTGTAATGACACAAGGTTGCACGTTTCTCAGACTAAACACACTGTTGTGGAATCACATGATTTTGAACAAGTTCTTAAACAGGTGCATTATACCCAGCATTATGTATACCACTACTGGTGGGAAACACCAGAGATCATGCAATCTAGAATTGGTAAGTTCCTGGGGTAGGGCTTATGAATCTAATCAAATTAGGCATGGACAAACAAGTCTAGGCAAAGTGGATAGCTGCACTGTGCAGCTAACACACAAGAGCTGATGTGTACTAGGGAACAATGCATGTGCCCACTGGTTCACATGCATATGGCATGGAGAGTGCATGATCAGTTTTCATCAAAATATGCACAAACCTGTGGCATCTTCATCAGGTGCACATCCACAGTGATGAACCAAGATTCTGCCTTATTTCCCTTTGTGTTGCTGTTTTGGGGTACTTGTTCTAGCAACAGACAGTGTGTTCTTTCATTGTTCACACACAGTACTGGTAAATAAGGTCAAATATTGCCCGAATTTCTAGCAGCCTTTAATAGTATTTAGCAATTATCAAGCAAACAGTAAGTTACTATAAATGACCGTGTCCAAATCATTTGGCCGTGGCTAGCAATTACACACGAGTCTATGGTAGTGGCTGTTGCCGGTTCCCTTTGAGTCGTGTGTAATTTCAAGCCGCAGCCAAGGGATTTGGACGCAGCCTTAGCCCATGTGATTTACTAACCAGTTGATGCAATTTGTGTCAAATACCAGAGTCTCACCATCCTGCAGTGGTCACAGTTTTGGTAAACGTGGCAATGCATTTGCCAGTGCTCAGTTACAAAACAAGGCCAGTAGTCAGGCGTGACGAGTATTGCATTGGAGCCAGCAGACAACTGTACATTACAAATGCCAGAAGGATTCTGGTTAAGCATTTTTATAACCCAAATGGTCAACAGCATCGACCATGCACATTTTACCACTTGCAAGTACTTACATGTATTTTCTTTGGGTTTTTGTTGGGTTCTTTTAATAAGGTGCATTTTTAATAATATCCTGAGCAGCTTTCTTGTTTTGACTTGTCTTTTTTAGTTTCAATTTAAACAAGTTGTAGAGATGTACTGTAGATTTCTGTGTATGTAGTGTACAGGCTAATGTGCATGCAATAAAAAAGAAAGAAAAGCTACTTGATTTCAGACTGTTTCCCTTTCTTTCCTTGCTGGCATCAAAGTCTTTGTTGAGACTGACCAAACCTCATCAATAAGAGTCCATACTTTGCAAATTACCTGGTTATGATAGGAACCTTGTTTTATCAGGAATGAAAGCAATGAAGAACAAAATATTGAGACCTAAAACTTTTCTTCTTGTATGGAGAATCTTTTATCTGCTTTTGTTGAAAGGTTACTTCTCTTTCAATTCCACAGGAAAGAAACGTTGGCAAATTTTTCTTCCGTCACAAATGTTTTACTTTCTCGGTTAATTTGAATATCAAATATTTGTAGCTGGATACTGTCACTCTACTAACAGCCTGCAGGCAACTCACTTCCAATGTCTGTATGCAAGTTTTGTTTGTCAAAAAGCAAAGGCTAACGAAGAAGCTACTTTACGAAAAATAATAGTTTCTAGCGTCTGATACAAGGGGGCTGGTGGAGTTTCATGTCATAAAGCCAACAGAGCAAACATCAATTGTTTCAAAGCAGCATCATCTCTATTGTTGCTTTTTACTATTGTGCACATTTTCACCTACCATTCTTGGCATGTCAGTTATATTTTATACACTGCTACATGCAACTAATGTAAACTTAATTTTCAAAAAAAGTTGTCTAAAATGCTACAAATGAACCAAAACAAAAACATCTACAACCTGTACAACTGTAAAAAAACACAAAGCAGTCAGCCACTGTGGTCTCAATGGGCAGTGTGTCCCATGTAATAGTGATAATGTAAAGCCCTGAAAGTGAGACCACCTGTTCACGGTCAGCAACTCTTTTGGGTCCCGTAGGTGGTGGCTATTTGTAGTTGATTTTGTGGTATTAAAATGACCCTAATAAAAAATTTTGGAGTTCAGAAAGCTGAAATGATGTAAAAGACACTACCTATCTGTTGTATTTTGAAATGTACACATTATATACAAAATGAAAAAAAAGGAACATTTTTCTTTGTATATACAAAAATTTACAAAGATGAAGGTTTCCATCCATAAAAAGGGCTTAGGCTATCTCGACCCAATAAAAAAAACTGGAACATGACTAAAACCTGCTCTTCCCAACCCCCCCCAAAAAAAATTCAATAAAAATGGAACTGCCGCATTTGAAATTTTATAATTGCAGCGGAAGAATTCTACTCCATGCAACAATGTGTTATGTGACATCCAAAAGCTTTAACAAACAGCTTTAACAATATCCATCTCCACACTCTGAGAAGGTATATCCATGATGTTAAATGTCTTGAACATTTGCAGCAATCTTTAAAGACAATGCTCAAATAATGAAGAATGCTTTAACCCTAAATATAGGCGAGAATGTAAGCACTTCAGAATGCACTGATGCCGCGGCGAGCCATGAGATTGTTGGCTCTTTTGTTTGCTCGGTTGTGCTTGGCCTCTGCTCGTCTGTTGTCACGAGTCTTAAGCATTGGCTTCTTGGTGATGTTGGCCTTGGCCTTCTGGATGTTGGAGGTGGCCTGAACGCGGGTCGACACCTCCAGAGGCTTCAGTTTCCCTGTGGGAAGGCAGAGTAACAGAACACAGTGGGATAGAGCGTGGTAGTCTGCAAGGGTAACTTTTAGCATGGACGACAGTTTTGCAATTCTTCAAGCCCTTTGGTGGCCAGACTAAAATACCTGCAGTCATCACGGAGGCCACAATTTGAAAGCTTCCATTTCAAAAAAAATCTGAAAAGATGAAGGTTTTATGACTGGATCAAACTGTTCAGGTACAAAGCTTTCGAGAAAAAGACAATTTAGAAATATTGACGTGCACATTATTCCGCCACTTAGAATTCTTAGAATTTACCTCAATAAGGAAAAGGGGCTCTGGATCCTGAACTTACAGCTTGAGTCACAGAAGGATTCAAAATGACTGGAGTGTTCTCTTACCAGTATATGGCTTGTATGTCAGTGGCTTGCTAAGTGAGGCTTTGAGATCAAAGGCTGGCTTGCTGATGGTATCCGCAGCAGGGGTTAGAGCAGATTGGCCAAACTTGAAGGGGGTGGTGACCGCTGTCAGCAAAACACAAACACCAACCAGTCAAAGTTAACCAGTGAGCAGTAGGAAAATATCATCTTGCTCTACCAAATAACAAATTGTACCATTCCATATTTAGGCAGCAAGCTTCCTTGGCTTCAACACTGTCAATAAAAAGATTCAGAGTATGGCACTGTATTTCAAGAAAATACACGCTTAAGGAGTGCAGAGACTGATTAAAGAACCAGAAATTTGGTACTTGTCAGATTACCATGGTAGCATACACATGTGTATTATTCTTTTGAAGATAACAGTGGATGCATCACTGAGTTTAACCTCATGAAATCAGCTGTTTCATTGAAGAGAATTAGTTTTACAGTGGCACAAACCACACTTACCAATTTTACTTTTGCGTGTTTTGTAATTCTTAACACTTTTCACATGTGTCACCCAGAAAAAGGAGTAATCTATTTTTTGAGACCTGCTAGACAAGGTTGCTTTGAACTTACCACCGACAGACTTGCGGTTGTCCCTGCCAGATTCTCCAATAGACTTGCGTGAGGACAGGTCAAATTGCGGCTTCTTGGCTGACGTGTCAATGACCGAGATGGACTTGCGTGGTCCAGGGGTGGACTTCCGTTTCTGTCGGGGCTCTCCTCCCCCAACCAGGAGCACTGAGGCCCTGGTCGGGGTCTTCAAGCGGGACACCTTGAAGGTCACGCTCTTGGTGGGAGGGGCTTTGCTGACAGGAGCCTTGGTCCCTCGGTTCTTGACACCCGTTGGCCTAGGGGAGCCGAAGGGCAGATTGGTGATGTGCACCCTGGAGACTGGCTTACCAACCTTATTAGAATTAAAAAAACAGTGTTGAAACTTTTGTGGATGAAATTCTGCTGCAGCATACAACCAGCTAGTACCTGAGAACTTAAAATATAATACGATATGACACGTACAAACCACAGTTTGACGTATTGCATTTGCTCACACTAGGATTTTGCAGGATAATTTCCACTAGATTTACCTTGCATAACTGAATCTGTAATACTTTGGAAAGAGAGAGTGAACCACCCAAGCTTTGGACTGCATGTTCCTCCGCGGGCAGATGGCACACGCTGTAGACAAAGAAAGCAAGCACATGCTGACATGCATTCCTGCTTACCTTGGCTGAGCTGCCCTGTGGAGTCCGATGGGATGTCAGATTCTGAACCGCTGCCCTGGCCTCATCGGCAATCAGCTACAAAAGATGTCAACGGCAAGCAAATGTTATTTTCGAAGTGGAGCAACTCCAGCCCCTTTTCCTTTTTAAAAATGAGGACGCTGTTTTACTTGTATACAGAAAAATATGAAGTTTCAATGCAGAGGCTGAAAAAGCACTGGGCTTTGTACATCCATCATACAACAGCTACATGTACATGTACACTGACTGAGGTAAATACGCACTGCTCACTGCTTTATCTCCATTATCCTGCGGTAGCATGAGGTATAGAGCCAGTCTAACAGAAAACACATCCAGGCATCAGTTTCAAACGCTGTGGCCACATTGCATCCACTGTCACACATTTGCACTTCATATTCACAGGTGACAATAAGCTCAGTCTCCTAGCATACTGTATGTTACCTGGTCATGAATTCCTAACAACATAGGATTGTGCATTTAAGTTCAACCACTACAAGATTATGAATGACCAGTCAGGATTGGCTCCACTCACCTTGGCCCTTTTGACCGACGCAGATAGCGCCTCCGTTCTCTTGCGCTTGCGGGCCACGTAGTCATCGATGGACTCCATCTTGTCAAACTGGGCCTGGTGAATGCGGCTCCAGTCCTTGTTGCCTGGGGTGATGGGCTTGTTGGACTTGGCAACCACGGCCTTCCGCTTGGGAATTTTGCTCTGCAGGGACACTGTGTTTTGACATTTAAACAAGCAAAATATAAAGGTCAAAAACAGGGACAAAAATTTTCGAGGCAGGACTGTCCGGGGATGCTTTTTAGGCAAGTTTGATGTAAGCTACGACGACAAATCCTTTTCTACTTCATCCTCAGATTCTCAGGTATCAATATGGGGTTTGGCTACATGTCTAGGACTTGTGATAAACAGCATGTATCCTATCAACAGGGGTTACAATGCTGACACAATGTAGGCCAACAGCTAAATAGCTGAAACGCACCTGATGGGGATCCGTCAACCGTCCATTTACACATTAGTTTTTATCAGCAACTATGTGTGACTGATACCATAAAGCAACATTAATAAACATGGCTCAAGTTTGAAATAGATACAAGCTGGATAACACTGTTATTTTTTTTTTACTGTTTGGGTCCATGTATAAGTCAGTCAGTGCTCTTGTATTTGGAAGATACTACTTAAAACATCATTGCAGTCAATATTCTTTGTGATTGGTGTTAAAATCAGTTCAACTACTCGCAAGGATTGCCCAAGCAGGACAACTAGCCAAATACTTTCAGATCAAGTCTTTCTAATACATGTATATGTATGTACTTGCAAGTGTTTACAAATTCTCCATGTCCGTGTTAATTAAAGGCAGTATTCTTAGAGATTCATTTGGACATTAGCGTATATTAAAACTCAGCTTTCCAATTTCTTTCAAAAAGCAGACATCTTTTCTTTTTTAACTCTCACATTTTTCTGCTGCTTTCTGCTCAAGTTCTGCCAGGATTTCTCTCTTCATATCTGGATCACTCTGGGCTGTGGTTTCCTTCTTGGCAACCTCATGAGGAGCTGCCTGCTCCTGCTCAATCTCATACGTCCTCCGGCGTACGGGGACGTCCGTAGGTGCTGATGCAGTGGGCAGGTCCTTGTCCATTTTTGGGGTGACACTCCGGGTCTTCCTCCGCACTGAGGTTTCAACAGGTGCCAGGGTGATCTTGGTTGCAGGAGCAGTGCTTCCCGTCTTTGGGGTGACGCTTCGTGTCTGCCGACGGAGGGGTACCCCACCTGCAGCAAGTGTGGTGGAAGAGGCAGTGGAGCACCGGGTCCTGGGGGTGTTGCTCCTCACAGTCAAGTTCGGCAGCTTGACAGCAGAGGTTGATGATTTCTGTTACAACCAAACCAAGAAGGCAGTGTGTTACTGTCCAACTGGCACAAAGCAATGCTTTACATGTACGTTGTATGTCTGTAAATGATAGGCACAGGACATAGCAGGAATATGTGTGTTTTGCACCAACAGCTTTGGCAAACTACTTGTACAAAACTAGCATTGTATACAGATTTAAAAAAAAAGCTAAATCAACAACCACAAAACAAACAGCCTTGCTTTATAAGAATTTCAATGCTCATCTTCATGTAAAATGAGTGCACAACCAGAAAAGCCCCAGCAGCCAGCTTGTCAACTGACAACCCACTGGCCCAAAATGCAAGACCTGTAGCAGAGTGCTCCGTGCCTAGATTGGACTCATCAACCATTTCCGCAAAGGCTGAAGCAGCAATTGTGAGGCTATGGTCATCATTGACACCAATGGACAAATATCACGTCATCCAATTATCCTCAAGAACAGATTTACTACTGGACGGAGCTCTGCATGAGATGCATCACGTACTTGCTCTGGTGTCTTGTCCGTTGTCATAGCTGCGGTGTTTTTGGTTGGTGCCACGGTGCGTTTCCGCCCCTTCCTTCCCTTACGTGCCACCCTCTTTGGGGGAGTACCCTTACAAGTTTTGTCCTGTTCCACTTGCCCCTGTCAAAACAAGTCAATGTTTTTCAGAATTCAGCCACAAGATAGTCATGAATGCAATCTGCATGCTTTAGAGATGGAGTGTAATCTCTATTTGACCCACGGGAAAAGATGTATATTCTTCAGCATAGCTTTGTCCAGCATGGTGATACACCCCCACTTACATGAACGCATTTGGACTAGGTATCTTCCAACCTTGATTAAAAGTTCCAAGGAACAAGCACCTCCCCCCCACAACAAAAAGAAAAAAAAGATTTATCTTGACTGATTTCTAGAGGAAACGTAGGGAAATACATGCAGAGGCTTACTGGATATCAGATAGGAAATACATGCAGAGGCTTACTGGATATCGGACAGGAAATACATTTAGAGGCTTACTGGATATCGGATAGGAAATACATGCAGAGGCTTACTGGATATCGGATGTTTTCATACACACTTCTGCAATTTAAGAAGTGACACTTCATTTTTAACACTGTACATTTCAATTTTTTGTTTGTTTTCTTGTGTTGGTCTTGCTTTTAAATACTGAAGTTTATGAACCCCATATCACTGAAAACGAACTGGCAGTATCAAGCAAACTATAAAAACACAATCATTTACTTCATTGACGGAGGAGCCAGCAGACTCGGAGGATGTTGAAACGGCCGACTCATTACCAGTTGTATCATCTTCACCAGAAGATGTCCTTCCTGTCGTGGGAATGGACTCCACCTGGTAGTGTTTTCGTAGGGCTTCAATGATGGCATCAGTCTGAAAAGGGGAAAAAGTACTGTACATGTATTTTAACCACAAAACCCAAAGGCTGGAGGATTCAGGCCTTTTGAGGATGAGTCAATCCATTTGAAGTAAGATATGGGATGGAGAGATGTAAGGACTCGCTGCGCTCAATTCCATTAAGCCAAGCATGGGAGCTGTGCACACAGTTAGTACAACCTGGTCTAGAAAAAAATTAATCACCAAGGTTGAACATGGGCTATGGTGGAGGTACTGAAAAACTCATCTAAGGATCCACCGAACAACTCAATTCCAAAAAAATCAACATGTCATTAAAATAACTTGACTGCCAGATAACTCAATAGTTAGTGCCATACACTGGCCCAGCACCAAATGTGGACAGATTTGGTCAAACATCATCAATTTACCTCCAAGAAATGTTTGCAAGTACCACTGACATCCCATAAGCCCCCCCCCCAAAAAAAGTCTCTAGTTTCTGGTCAGTGTGTGCGTTGCCATAGATCTATTCTGTATAATAAGATGCCCAAAAGCTGCCACATGCTTGATTGAATGGAATCCTGCCACTGCGTAATTTTAACGTGTTTTATAAGGGGTACAACTGAGTAATATGTACAGTGAAGGAGTCCCTCTAGGCCCCATACATGTACATTTGGTCAGGCACTTGTTTTCAGATGACTTCATTTCTGTATGATACATTTACATCTGGGAACCAGACAAATGAGATGATCTTATGTCAATGCGACAAGCTGAAAAAGAAAATTAAACAGTAAACACTAACAGTGACTTCCTGTACCAGTCCTTATTAGTTTGGGGGATGAAGTTCAAACAAAGTGTACTGGGGTACTGGCATGACTAGCCCCACTAGTGTGGCACGGATTCTCACTCCCAGTCCATCCTTAGCTGCACATCCGTATACGCAACAACCTTATTTTAAAGATGGCGACTGTGAGAGCGAGCCCATCCGATTGAATGGGAGAAGGCAAAAAGACTGGAATAGCGCCATTCAATAAATGGCGCTAAGAAAGTGGAGAGGCTAAGCCTGCTAAGGATCATCTTTGTGTGCAAAAGAAATTGCGCCCACAATGATAAGTGGGTGCGCCGAAAATTTTCAGTACGCCGAAACTGCATATACTGATGTATGGCCAAGGATGGAGTGGGAGTGAGAGTCTGTGCCACACTAGCCAGCTGGTGGGGCTGAGGCATGACAGGCAATCTCCCAAAAACTCCATCAGCCCATATCATATGCATCATGACAAAAATAAACCCAACAAAAACAGACAAAAGTAGAGCCAGAAACTAGTAAAGGGCAGCTGTCGTTGACATGGACGTCTAGTCTGCACTGCTGTGCTGGACGTCGAGGGACATGCACGCCATTATGCAGAGGGACTGACGTTAGCCCGAGCAGGCCTACGTGCATGGAAAAGGATTATAGGCCTCGGCCTATGTTTAGGCCTGCTGCTAGTGCTAGGCCTACTGCTAATTAACATGATTTAAATAAAGACAAGACTATTTGACAAGGTTTACCTTCATGTTTGCTTTAATGCCAGCTTTTTTGGCAAGACGCTGGAGTTCAGCACGCTTCATTCCGTCAAGTGCGCTGGAATTTTCCATTTTGTTATACGACAAACAGGCCAAAATGGACAGATAACTGTTAATTAACTAGAAAATCGCACAACACCGCAGCAGTGTTCTTTTCCAACGTACCGGTACTTGTCGCCTTTCTTGATTGCTCAGCTCCAACGCATTGGATGGAGGTGAATTAGCCGTTGTGCGTGTTCAAAATCCCCGCTAACGCACCAGCGATTGGTTCACTTCATTAATGATGAAATGTGATTGGAGGATTTTGTGAAATTTCTTTACCGACGACTGATGTCTGACGGAAAGACGCCCGCAAGCGTCAGCAAAGAAAAAAGGAACCAAATTATGAGGGCGTCCCATACTTCACGTACGGGTATTCGCGCCATACGAATAGGGGTACGCGTTCAATGTCCGTGAGGCGACGGTCGTAACAAAAAGTACGTTCGGTTTTTAAGTTTTTAGGCAATTTCACAGTGGCCAAGGATTATTCTTTATGACATAACACAAAAATGACCGCCGTGCCTGGGTTTGGGTATACAGGCATGCTGGTCCCCTCCAAAAAAAGGTCAAAAAGTGGGGGATGGAAAAGAACAAAAACAAAAGAGGAAAAAGTAATGGAAATGTTCGTTTCCATTAAAATGCCTCGGAATGGCCCTGTCTTGATGGTTTGACTGTGAAGTCTGGTTCTGTCGATCCAGTGCTTTCTCACGCCCTCCAGCCAAAGGTACGTGCCCCTTTCTGGCAACGCCCAAGTTCCAGTGGAAATGATAAACGCGTTTAGTGTCCGAGTACTGGTGGTGGTGGTTGCATAATTTAATCTCGGTTCATTCCAATGGAGACACATAGATTGTCACACATAATTTAGGGTAAGGGAAACCTAGCCCAAGTCTGGGGCTAGGAAGAACCCAGCATTTGCAAACAAAATGATGAATATGATGAGTCGAAGGGTCCACACTTCATCTCATGTCTTGCAAAATGTTTCCTCCGATATCTGCTAGTATGATTGGGGTATGCGCAAATACGAATTCCTATTTTATAGACTATACATGACACCTTTTGAATATGGTAAGAAGACGTGTGCATTATAGAAATGTGATTCGTGATCAGAGAGCCGAATAGTTCGAATCCAGCTGCTAACAATAGGCTCAGTGTGAGCCCCGTCGACAGCTTTGGGCACCGAGATACATTGCAGTACTAATTAAGGTGCACAAAATCTTGTAGATAATTTTGATGCTTGTGGTTTTTGCCGGGGAGGGGCTGCTTGCCGGGGGGAGGGCGTCCCTTCCATCCACCCCCAACCACGGCTAAGGAATGGATTTCATCCAAGTGGCATGGAAATACCTTCGGTCACTCAGCGTTTCAGCCAAGGAAATTGGGCACAAACACTGGTCTGATGAATCACATTCACTCGGGAAACACTTCATATGGCAATAGTTCAAAAACAGCTATAGCACTGAGTGCAGTGACGAAGAGTGCCATCGAGCATGAGTCCACAAGTATGATAAATCTGTATGCAAGTACTGGGACTCCGACGTTTGTGAACGAGGGGACTGGACTACATGAATTATTTGTAGTACATGCATCTGATACTGGAAGAATGGAGGAGGTTCCCTGGTTCTCGGTCATAGCAATTTAGTGGCAGCATATGAGACTTATTAAAAGTGATGCAAATGGATGTTTCGGTGTCCCCCACCCCCATAATAGCCACCACACAGGCCAACGTCAAGAACGGCGCTCATGCGCCCCAAAGGCGCGCGTTATGGGCGCGTTTTGTGGAATTATCATAATATACATCTCGCGAATGTGGTCAGACACTGACTTTATAAGTCAAGCTTAGTTTCAACTTACATCAAAATTCCTTCACGAGTAGTTTTTCTGCCTTCAATTAAACCATGTCTGGCATTCGGATTTTGTGTCGAGCTATGGTCCGGCCACCGTCCTCTCTGAAGATAGCCACCAAACCCTCTCAACTGATAACTACATCAGTGCCCAGACGCACAAACACGCTCATGCAGTATCAAGTATGTACAACGTCATGTCAATTTTTAGTTTGCGGATTATGGATTCTTTTCAAGGAGGCATAGTATGAGAGGATGGAATTTAAAATAACAATAATAGAATTAACTTTTGATTCGAAATTGGCCATTGCTATCCGGCTGGATCGGTAAACAAGGGAAAACGGCTTTAAACCAGAGAAAATGTAGAAAAACTGACAGGTGTGTGGTGAACTATGAACGATAAATTTCATGTTTTTCCCCCTACAACGTACTGCAATGACCACGAATTGGGGGGGGGGTTAAAATGTTAAAATGAAAAAGAGCTAACATGGAAGCTTGTTTGCTGATGTTGTTTTGTTTTTATTTGGACAAAACGTCGGCACTCTTATATCCTGGTGAGATTGGAGGTAATAAAAATATCCACGACCTAACCCAAGGTTTTAAGTCTATAACCCTAAAGGAGCGGGTTATTTTGGAGAATCTCTCGGCCGGAGGTGCATACCCCAAGAACTCGGCTGTGCCATCCCCGATTTTTTTTAAACTTCGGATGCCTGTCAAAAACCCCGTATCACAAAGTTTGTAGGCCCTACTTAATCAAACGTATGGTTTTGTTGTTACAGTCATTTGAAGTTCAAGGCTACATCCCGGTACGCGTGCATTGAGCACCGCAGTGGAAATGTATACATTGATATTTTTGCAGATCTGTCTCGGGGAAAATGCGCGCTGTGCGAGAACAGTATGTTCGATGTTTGCAAAAAAAATGGTGTCAAAATGACCGCAAAAGTTCAACTCCTGAAAACAAATGCACTACAGCAATATCCTAAAAATGTCGGGAGGTGGGGTGGATTCCGCTCCCAGCTTTTTTATAAGGGCCCCACGGTAGTGTAGGGCCAATGATACACGGACACGTTTGCCTAAAGGTACTCCCTAAAACGCCTGTATACACACTCTATAGCAACTTTATGGTTAACCCGTGATTTATCAGATTAAAAAAAACTTGTTCAACAAGATGGCTAAAACCTTGGAATTGGGAAAATTCCTGACCTTACCCCTCCAATGAAAGGCAATGCAGGCTTTATCGTGAATTAACGTGTTCAACATTTATTACGTTGTAGGCCCCCAAGAATGTTCTGAAGCCATGGGAGATGGCCACAGCGCAGCTGTGTTTGGCGACGGCCCTGCTCGGACCGACCTGGTGGTTTTTCCTTCATATCAATGACTACAGGAAGAAAGATGACGATCAAACAGACGACTAACACCATGGCATCCTCAACCCAACAAAGTCCTGAATATCAGACTACCCGCAGACATCACTTGAGCTTGATAAAAAACAGGAATAATTAAATCGCTGTAGTGATCATGGCACTGACATAAATTTCATTAGCAAGCAGTTACTAACATGTAATACAAATTTATAAAGGCAAATTGTTAAGACTTTGAAAACACTGCCGGGTTGAATTTTAATTTTTGAGTTCTTTAAATTTGTCGTTGTACTTTGGAAACCTTAAACCCTAAAGAAAAACAAAGACGGTTCAAGTAAAGTTCGTAACTTCACGCAGTGTTAAATCGAATTCCTAGACTCACTCAAGGTCAACTTATTACATATTAGGGTCATTTAGAGACGAAATGTGTCCTAATTATCATGAGAATTAATTTGTTTTCAACTGGAATTCAATAAATCATCACTTCTTACTTGGGAAGAACATTTGACAAATTAAGATGTGCACACATATTTTATTCCAGAGAAGACGAAAACAGGGAATCGTCAGAAACAGTGGAGAAAATTCCAACTTGACCAGTCATTTTAGACACGAGTTACATTTCATAAGAGGGATACTCTACAATAATGTATGGAGAAATTGAATTCAATAAAGTCCACACTATGTATAAATTCAACTTTGGGAATTAATGTAAATTTCTGCTCCTTTTATCTACTGCATTTGCAAAATACCTGTGCAGTACGCCAGATATGAATTTGGGTTAGCTGGAAGCCTGGAACACTCAGAACAAACAGTATTCACACAATTTGTGTTGCAGTTTTTGGCCAATAAAACAAGCCATTTTATCCCAACTGACAGTGTACTAGCTCGGTTGGGGCAAGTGGGGCCAACTAGGAACGCTTCCTGGCCACTGTCCTCTCTAGAAAATTGGGATTTTTTTGGGGGGGGCTTTTGCCAAGCCATCTGTATACTATAGTGTTGATATGTCACCTTAATGTGGACATAGACCGATTTTAGGCCCTGAATCAAAATGAAATGTTCCCCTAAAAAGCAGCCATGCTGTCATTTGTCTTCCCTTCCCTGAGCAGAGCCTCGCTACACCACTGCCTACGGAAAAATAAAATTGCCAATAACTTGAGATTATTTGGCTCCATCAAAATTTGCACAGAAAACCAATAAGAGGCCACGAGGATACAGGAATATCTGTGATATTTGCATTGGACCAGTGGATATTACCGAATAACGAGATTCAAATGACAAAGTTCGGGTTCAAAGAACAGAAGAACAGAAAATCAGCTGCTCTGTCTCAGCATCCTCTTGTCAGCTTGTTCTACACGAGGTCTCTCTCTCCTGCCGTTTCATGACCCTGATCAGTGGGTGAGGTGGAGGAACGATGTTGTCTACTTAGATTCTCCATGGCCCATCCAAGTGACAGAGATCCAGCTGGGAACTGCCAGGATACCAACACTGAACATCAGTGCAGCCAAGGTAAGTTCCTACAACGAAACCAAAGAGTTGTAAGTTATAGTTAAAATGGAAAGCAATTCTACTTGGGTCACTTATGCCATGAGGTGTTGGCAACTTGGATGACTCGCAACGCATCGTTCATAAGGTCACTGGATGGAATGTACGTGTATATGGGCCAAAATTTACCCAATGACAATTTCTTGTCATATTTATTGGTGCTGATGGGGCCTAAATACTGTAGGCTTAGGCCTTCTAATACTAATATCACTTTCTCCGACTTCGCATGATGTGTTTGTATGCACCATATCCAGAACATATTCAAGGCCCCGTTTACGCGGCTGTGGCTGGTCCAGGCTGAGGCAGTCCCGGTAAGACCCGTAGGCCAAACAGCAGAACATGGCGGAAGCAAACATATCACCACCATTGCAATGTTTACTGTCGAGCCACTTAATTCAGGCAGGGGAGATAGCGTGTGTAGGCTACTTACCTTTTTCGAACTGGGTGCCTTTGCTGCACTTCTCCGACTCTGTCGAAAATTCCTTCGTGGGACTTTCATCAGTCGCCGAAGAACCTGGTGGCGACCAGCGACGACACAAGAAGCAGACATCACTTTGAAGAACATTGTCCGAGCAAAACAACCTTGAAAATATTGAAACCTAATCACACAAAGCATGCAGCAGATGAACAATGGCTACCGCGCCGGTATAGCTACGGCGTACGTACGTTTGCATGCACATCACGCGCCCAATTGTGCGTGTACACGTACGGGCCGGGTGGAACTTTTGACCAATCAGAGCCTAAGCCATTCATCCTCGCACGCGCACGCCCGTTTCGTACAATTCAGGGAATTCGAACACAGTAGTAATTCAGTTTTCATGGAAACTGTTTACTCCAAAAGCTTTGACTTCACGAATATATTCAAAAGGGGGTGAGATTGCAGGAAAATGAAACGTCCACGGAATAATAGCTAGAGGTTTTGCTGGCACTATAGCAGACACAGTTAAGCCCCAAAATATTGATACTCTTTGAAAAATATGGCAGATTGCCATTTGTTAAAACATCTGAACTGGACTGATGGTTAACCCTGGGACACAAAAACTAACATTTCCTTTGCAAAAGCTCATCTAGGCAAAGATCTAAGCTTCTGATACCCGAAGTTGGAATGGGTATGAATAATTTAGGGCTTCACTGTATATATTTTGTCTGTATGAATGTACTCCTTAAAATATCCATTTCTTGTGTTCTGTATCAACTTTTATTCGAGTACAAACACCTTTGTGGTAAATACAGGATTCACCAAAATTTAAGAGAGATTGTTTGAAAAGTCCTGCGATCTGAAAAATCTTGATGAAAAAAAATCCTGAAATTGGGAAAAATCCTAACAAATCTCACCACTCATTCCAACGGACTTGCGAGCCTATGCATGTATAAGAATGAAATAAATACTTCGGTAGAAAATTAAAATGTAATACAAGGGGCAGATCCGATTTTGTTGCTTGGGAAAGGGGGTTCGGAAATTTGTGTGGGGGGAGGCTGCATGTAGTTGTCGCCGTTGGTGAAGCCATTAATCTCCTTGTAACCTTAACCGCATACACAAAGTAAGATCCCCACACGGTTTACACTTTATAGGGGTCTATCCAACCTGTAGAGTTTAGACCTGGGCCATTGAAAAGGGCAAAAAGCACAGGGTGTTGTTCGACTCTCTACCCCTCGTCCCCGGAATAAGAGGAACTTGGAGGTGACCTCCAAAGTCCAGCACAAATCGTCCAGTCGCAGGTCACTCAACAAGGCATGCGAGGTAAATTTTGCACAGGGGTAATTGTAACAAAGTCATCCTTGGCCTCTTTTTGTTTACCTTCTTTCCTTGTTGACCGACATGTGTTTTGTCATATGTCTTATGATGGGAAATGTGATGTAGTCGACTACATGTACATCAGCTTTCTTCACTATTTCCTTTGCTCCTTGGCCAAGAAGCAGTGTTGAAATTTTTCAATAAAATTTTTCATACATGTATACAAAAAGAAAGAATTTACCACACCACCGCATACCAATTTTACACACACATTCTTTAATACTTTAATAATTCAGGCATTCTATCCAATAGGTCTACTTTGCATGGCAAGTCTCAAATTCCATGAGACCTACATGAGGAATAAAAATTCTAACTGTACCATTAACAAACCAGCAAAATATTGAAAAATACATATTTTAAAGACAGTTCTCTTTGCTATTTGAAATTTCCCTCCAAATAACCTTAAACATTTTATTTTTGTCAAATTTGTGAGCCATGATTTTTTAAAACATTTTGTAGTCAATCAGTGCCAGGAGTGATTTTGCATTTTCCTAACATCTATGTATATTCACAGGCTACGCAATCTGAAAACATTCGTGATGATGAAAGTTAATGGGTTCGGTTATATCTATTACATGTCAGTTACAGCTACACAATAAAATAATGTTGAGCACAATTAAAAAACCACAATGATTCCGTCTCTTCTGAACCCCCATCCAGATGGTGTGCCTATTGACCATGACCATTGAACACTTTTCTATGACACTTCCTGAATCTTTCAATATCTGACAGACCTGTGCAGGATAACAATCATGTGTTCTTTGTACTTGACCAAAACCAGGACTCGGAGACTGAAGCCCGGTATTTGCAGATTTACAGTCCTGAGTTAATCTACACGCTACAAAAATGAGACCGCTGAGACAGTATCTCAGACTTCTGAATGTACCTATTTCTTTCCTTTGACTAAGATTTCTCCATATGATAACACCTAAACATCCTGACCATGTTATTTGGTTATTCACTCTGAGTGGTGACAAGAGAGGGCCACTGCTCTAAATGGAACAGTGCATGTAGATATTTCTGACAATGAGATATCTTCTAACCAGTTTCCACTGTGCACATAATGAGTTTTTACAAAAATAATCAATAAAAACCACTGAAATATTTCTGACACGGTGGTCTACAGGATTTTGATAAAATAATACACATGACTTCCCTAAGTCTTAAGACAGAGTTTTGACACTACTGTTAGACTCGAAAAAGTTTGTTTCCAGGAGTTCCTTGATTCTTCATGTTGAGAGGATAGATGACAGAAAAGCTGTGACAAGATTCTCAGCTACATGTAACTTTCGGCAATTTGCAATGAACTTTTTTGGATTTGACACAATGTTGAAGGCACCCTGAAACTAAGACTTATCAGTAGTGAGTGCTGTAATGCCCTTTTAGATCTTTCAGTCCAGTAATGTGATGGTGTCGACCTCAATCTGAAGTGTGATAGCAATACTCATTTCCTCCAAGGTACAAGCCAACAAATGAGGTTCACCCCGGCACATAACCACTTGCAGACTCGATCTCGGCATGTTCACGCTCAAGGCCAATTTGGAGTTCTTGAAGAGGGTGAGGGTTATCCTTTGTCACGATTCTTGCTAGGTTCTGTACATTCCTTGGTTGATTCAATGGTGAAGACTAGAGACTTGCCGAGATTTAAGTAAATCCATCCTTACTCATCACGGGCCTTGTAGTCTTCCAGATGTGTCAGTATCCAGCAGGGAATGGCCAAACAGCCCACTGAAAGGACCCCCAGTCCCACCGCACTCTCCTGGACAAAATGAAGCAGGCAAAAGGGAAACGCTTACAAGAGGGAATGGGATACTCTTGGACAATGATGCACCACAAACATTTTTCCGGTGTCAAAGTAATAAACATGGACCAGTAAATGCTGAATTCACCCGGTGACAGCCCAACAGAAAATCGAGCTCTAATGGACTGCTGAAAATCCTTCACTAAAACCTTCAAAATACTGTACATAAAAATGGAAAACACTTATGCACAGAGGGGAATCTGGTTTTGTGAACTAGCTCATTTGCTAAAGTGTTTCAGAAGTTTTGATTGCTTCATGTTTTCGGAGTGTCGAAGTTTGGAATGTACTTTGAGCTGTCGCGGGCGTCACTGGCTCCCAGCCATTCCATGGTATCCTTACTACTTGTTGCAATAGGAACCTGTGTGCCATACATGCTTTATTGTGTGCTTCCACCACACTGTGCTCGCAATGCAACTTGTCTCATGCTTGGGCCATGGGAAAGTAGAAATTATCAATTTTGGTTCCACATATAGGCCTCGTACCCTCATATTATATACATGTACACATATTTTTAGCAGGAAAAATCTGTATAATTTTACAATGCCATGTACATGTGATATCCTCTACATGTGCATGTGCTGGCAGAGAAACGTCCCGGATCAGACTTGAGCGATTTGCAAAGTTGTACGATGTCGACTTAGCAGGATGTTACTGTAACTAATACCCAAAATCAAAATCCTCCGAATTCACCTGTATTATTGTGAGTATTAACCTGTCTAATGCGTCTGGCTTAGGATTAATTGAGATTTGGAGATTCCAATATTGACTGACGGTTAGATTTACTCACATTTGACTGTTTGGAAGGCAAAGTAGAGAAATTTTCCCTTCAAATGGGAAATGTTCATTATCGAGCTCGAATTTGCCATCTTGTTCAAATAGCGATTTAAACTATGTTAATGTCCTGGAGACGACGTCACAGCACATCCAAAATGTGAGTAAAACTTAAATAATAATTATTGGACATGTTGGAATCTCCGATTCTCACTTAATCATTATTCCTAGACCTGTAAACAGGGCCTGACAAATACTCCTCTGTCGTATACCGGGCCCTGTCCCGATTCATAGGGATTTCTTGAAAAAGTTATCCGAGATATCCAGGGAACAACTGAACATCCCTTGATTTTATGAGCTGAAATTGCACCGGTATGTTCACTACTTACAGTGTAAACATCCGCTAGGTTGTTAATTATAAAAAACTCGCCTTTTCCTAATCTTAGGAAAAAAATGCTGCCTTTTTTTGCCATTTTCCCACTCCAGAAGAAGTTTGCCCCACTTGCATAAAAGCAACGGCTGTTTCGTCACTTTCGTGTCACGTTACAGACAGTGAGCCGCGCTACCATTTACCAATGATTTGCCGCAAACAGTGTGTGACTGGACAGGAAACTAGCCAAGGGTATTGCGTATCAGCTGAGACACAAAACAGCCGTAATTTTCTACGAGTAGGCCTACTTAGATTGACAGATCCTCAAGCAGATCTGAACGAGATCCGTAGGTGCTGAAGTCTGGGTGCAAACTAGACAGGCTCTCATACAGGGTACCATTACTTAACCATACAAAGGAGTCTGTGTAATGTACAAGTCAGGTGAAAATTCGTACGGGGTGGGAAAACAGCAAAAAAGGCACGATTTTTATCTTCAAATGAGGAAAAGGCGGATTTTCTACAATTGGCAACCTAGTGTATTTTTTACAGCGTAGGCCTAAGTAGTGAACATACTGGTGCAATTTCAGCTGATGAAATGAAGCGGATGTTTAGTTATGTCCTAGATAAAGTTTTCGAAGGAAATTCCTATTAATCAGGACAGGGCCCAGTATACGACAGAGGAGTATACTATTTGTTGGGCCCTGTTTACGGGTCTAACTTAATCATGTTAATCCTACTTCCTAGCTGGATCCGGATGCACATACACTGATATAGAATACAGTTTAACTGGGACACTTTGGACATGTTGGAGGTGAATTCGGAGGATTTTGATTCGGAATAGGAGATATTTTGAGTGAAATTAATTAATGGGGTGGAAAGCCCATCATGAAATGTACTTGGACTCTAGTACTAAGTACTAGTAAATGTATCGCCGACCATGTCCAAATGAGATTTGCCTACCCATGGTTGAAGAGGGTTTGCAGGTTTTGCACATCTAACTCCTCTTTTCTGGAAGATCATAGACCTCATTGTTGGCGTCCATCGGACAATTGCTCCTCGTAGTATTCCCGACATTTTCAGGGACAAAGTTGTCGCTCTAGCCTTTGTAGAAAGAGTGAAATTGTTTCGGCAAAAATTGATCTTTCTGCCGCTGATATTGGTAAGGTATGGCCAGCGTCCAGAATTAGTAAGTCAAGCAACAGTCTCGGAATATGACATTTGCATACAGTCATCAGTAACGTACCCCAGACTACTAAAGTCTGGTTCCCTACCGTAGGATTCCAACAAAACGAAAGTCATGGCTGCGGCTAGCATGGCAAGTGAACCCATAGAAGCCACGACTAATGACGCATTCCGAGTCGTTAGCATGAAAAGTGCCCCCCACAGGGGTGATATGTTTCATGTGAAAAATGCAATTGGTTAACCCACAAGAAATTGAAAAGAAGTTGAAAGACTAGAGACCAGACAAAAATTTAATGTTTGTTTCAGAAACCTAAGGGATGTTGGTATGCACATTATTGGGCCCTGAACAATGCTGATTTTAATTTACAACGTTTCAATGGGGCTTGAATTCGTGGACTCAGTGCACCGCATTATTAAAGAGCTAGCTAGGGGCAAGTTCGGGCGCGAACTATAGTTAGGCCACTAGTCAGTGGCTTTTTAACAATGCGCGCGCGCTATTAAGTTAAGCTCGAACAACCCCAGTCGGCCTTTTTTAAATCTTATTGTTACTCAAAGTTCAGCTTAGGCTGCGATTCTTGTCGCTTCCAAGGTTACTGAAATCTTGTGGGCCCAGTCCACTAATTCAAGCCCCAT